TTAAACTGTACAACGAGGCGATACATGGAGAGCTAGAAAACCTGCCTGAATATATTACTGGTGAACGTAATATTGATAAAATAAAATACGCAGATGACAACCAGTTGATGACAGACTCAGAAAGAAAATTGAAAGGACGAACTGATAATGTGGTACATTAAACAATTAGTTTAAATATCTTGGAAGTGTTTCAAAATAGGATGGAACATGAGACACCGAAATTCGAAGACGTGTTGGAATTGCAAAATATGCCTTCTAAAACAGTGCAAAGTATTAAGAAACAGGAAAATTTCGTAAGTAACAAAGAAAATGTTATGTAATATCAATCTTCCTATAGAGCAGTGAATTCTGTACAATTTCTTCACAGATGAACAGGAAACCGGTTCTACAGAAGGATTCTAAGAGTATGATTTTCAAAGTCTTAACGAAAATGGAAAGAAAAAAGACACTTATACTCAGAACCAGAAAGAGGTTGATGAAATTTCTTGGATACATAATGAGGAAAGAGGGCTTGAGGAATATGGCACTCACAGGACATATGGAAGGTAAAAAGGAAGGCAGCGGGTTATTTACATCATAAACTTGCCTGAATGGATGACAGAACGAAGGTTTGGAAAGATCGCCAAAAAATGTTACTATGAGCCACAGGGCGTAGGAAGTTGTGGATAGCCATTATCGTGCACGTGGCCGAATGGTTAGAACGTTCGCATTCTGACTATGAGACCCGGGTTCGAATCTCACTATGGTCGATTTGGAGACATCCTGATGTTACTGGACTGCAGCGTGCGGCACCTTTGGAAAGTGCATGAAAAACATACCATGGGTTGACCAAATTGGGTAGACGGTACCCGTCGATAGCTGTGCTAGAACGAAGTCACACGTCATCGTGGCCGAGGGCCCGAGCGTGCTGACCTTGTTCAAATTGTTGATCACGCTAGATAACACGCTCTTTCCCAGAATCTGTAATTAAGGTCAGCTCTATGAATGTTAAATAAACACAACTGCGCCTGAGCAAGCGTCTGCAACAGGGATTGGCTAGCCGCCTTAGTAGACGGATATCCTCATATATGAGTGGCCAATTATACATACCCGGAGGAACATGGCACATATTTTTTTATTAGCATCTGTCGATCACGAGAGACATGGAGCTTCCCTCGAACAGTGCAGGCTTGGATAGGAATTTTTTTATGAGAGATCGGCATTTGCCCATGCAGAATGTCTTCCCTCTCCGCGCCACTGATGTGATCATCGGAAAGGGAAAGGTCAATACAGTCTGGCACAGGAGTCGTCGCAGGAGTTGCCAGAACGAAACATAACATCGAAATGTCTTAGTGACTTCGGAATTGAATTCGGTTTTCCTTCTAGTCTGTTTACCAACCATGACTACAGAGCCTAGATGGACCTATTATTTACCAATAGTTGGAGGTTTTTAATTCAGGTTCTTTCCTACTAGACTGATTTCCACCTAAGGCCATAAAACCTAGTCTATCCTGTCAGGTGTATGCATACCTTTCCCAAAAGTATTACCAAGTATAAGTGAATGTCATGAACTTGACTAATTCGAACTCACCACTCCACAATCCGAGCCGCAATCCGTTATTCCACCGTGCCTCTATGGCACATAGAAGAACAACAAACAGAAAAAAAGACGTGAAGAATAACTATTAACTATACGATTTCGTGGTTATCAAAAGAAGTGGCTGTTCCAGGTGTCCAAAGTGTCTGTAAATTAGTTGCCTTTCTTTTATACACGTGAATGTTCAACTTTTTCACCAGCAATGTTTTCATTAGTCGGAAACTTGTTTGAAGCACGCGGTGTATCGTACTGCAATGTTCCACCTTCTGCTATATCTGATGTCAAATGTAGTTTTTGCTGTTCAGTATTCCGCCGAATTTTATCAACTTTCTTTTACCGTTTTCTTACGGAGCCCCTACCGCACAAACCATTACACATCTACCAACAGATGTGAGTCTTCGCCCTAATTCTTGGGAACTTTCTGGTAGCAAAGTTTTGTCTTGACTTCTTGGATGCTAATGCTGCACACGCTTACAAAAATGGTATCAAGCGTATTACTAAAAAACAAGCTCTTGTCGGAGTTATCTCCTCCTAAATTCGGACACCACCACTTGGGGGAGCTAGCCAATTACTATATATACATGTAGAGACCCTGGCATCATTCTCCCTCTCTTTCTTTCAGCGAACAACGACCACGTAAGCTCTCGCAGAAGATAAGCGTTCCCTCTTGTGGTAGATGCCATGGACATTATACGCATACACGCATACACATACGTAAAGACATTCAGTGAAACACGAAATTTCCCCGCACACACGTTAATATCTTTGTCTATTGTAAATTCGTTTGTTGTTTAATATACCTATTTGATTGTACATATATATCGGTTCTTGTTTTCTTTCGCATTTCAGCACCTGTCAGGGTCTCAGTTGTGGGCAAATAGTTACCCCCCCCAAAAAAAAAGGGGATCAAAACACCATGAAAGTATAAAAATAGGTTTTAATACCAACAGTACATTTTTGGAAAAATTATTACTAGCAGTAAATTTTTGAAAAAGAAAAATATTACCAGCATTACATTTTTGAAAAGAAAATATCACCAGCAATAAAAATCTTATCAACATTAAATATCCCATTGAGGTTGATATGCCGTAAAACAAACCAAACCAAACCAAACCAATCTTCTTCCTGTTTGAGGAGATTGTCCAGCATCCACTGGCATATAGGAGGACTGATATCACGTAACAGTTCAGTTCTTGTTTCTACATACCATACTGCTCTTTCTGCGGCTAAGATGGCCGTCCATATCATCTACAGTGAGAAACAGATGAATCCATTTTCAAATTCTAACTAAAGGGAATCCAGGCTCCGTCTGCTGACCTTTGAAGACCCTCTCGGTGTGACATTTACAGGATCGGTAACCATGGACAAAGAAAAAAAAAACGTGCCCTACCCTTTACTTAACGGGTCCTTGATGCCATGGCGAAAGAAGAAACCCTGCAAGTTAAGGCAACAAAAGGTCCTGGGTAGGGTCGGCCACCCGGAATAGTCGGGTTATTGATAGCCCTGATCAAAGCGCGCAAATGGCAGCTTCAGTGAAGCAATTCGACGATATCTTACGCTTTGAGAACAACAATTTATGAGTATCAATCAAAGTGAAGTGATATTAGATCGGCCGACGTCACCAGTAAAAGGCATCAGTAAACAAGGCAAAAAAAAAAAAAAAAAGAATGCGTATTTATTAAAGCAGGGTTGACCAAACTTGTTTAATGTAAGAGCCACATAATATAAAGTTCAGATGTTTGAGAGCCGCAAGGCATGAACAAAATTTATGCATACGCTTTTGTTACACATGTTACCAGTATCACTCATTCGGCCCAACCAAATTTTTCATGGCTTTACCTATGACCTCAGTTTTCTGACTTTCCTCTGTAACCCTTGCTTGCCGGAAATTTATTTAATCTCTCTACCTCCCACCATTCCTTCCCACAGCATAAAAAAACAATGCCTCACTCAGATCTAAAATTAAAATTAGGATTTAAATATTTAAATATTTTTTATTAACCACGAACATTAAACTCACGTTTTAATCCAATGGAGTTTCAGTTCATACCCAGTAAATAAAGCTTGGAATTTTTCTTATTTACCTTTTTATATTAACTGCAATGAAAAAAAGGAGCTAAGCCAAAATATTTCCACGAGTCGCATTTTAAAGGTCAAAGAACTACACGTGGCACGCGAGCCTCGGTATGGCCACCCCTATCATAGACGCTAATGGAATCTATCAAGACTGGAAAGCCAGAACTGTGATATTAACTGTGATGAAAAAAGGAGCTAAGACAACATATTTCCACGAACCGCGCATTTTAAAGGTCAAAGAGCCACAAGTAGAGCGCCTACTCAAATAGATATTTACTTGACCTCCCCCCCCACACACACTGAGTCAGGTTGTGACACAAGGTCAGTTTTTAACGTGGGGACCCGAGTGTTTTCGCTCGAGCCGCTGGTCTAAGCTGGTCATAGCTGGTCTAAGCTAGTCATAGCTGGTCTTGGTTTGTTATAGCTGGTCAGAACCGGTCCAAGTTAATTTGTATTTACTTGACCCCCCACCCACTGAGTCAGGTTGTGACACGAGCTCAGTGTTTAACGTAGGGACCTGAGTGTTTTCACTCGGGCCGTTGGTCTAAGCTGGTCATAGCTTGTCGTAGCCGTGATACCACCAGCACAGGGACAGAGCCCTGGGCCAGGGTAAGTATCAAGCACCTACTCAAATATGTTGGGAAATGTAATCTCAATATATATATATATATATATATATATATATGCTTCCCACCATTCCTTCCCTCAGCACTAAAGAACAATGCTTCATTCAGATCTAGCATTAAAATTAGGATTTAAATATTTAAATACTTTTATTAACCACGAACATTAAATTTACGTTTTAATCCAATTGGGTTTCAATTCATACCCAGTAAATAATTATAAAGCTTGATTCTTTTTTTATTTACCTTTTATATTAACTGGAATGAAAAAAGGAACTCAGCCAATATATTTCCATGAGTCGCATATCAAAGGTCGAAGAGCCGCATGTGTCTAGCGAACCGCGGTATGGCCATACTTGTATTGAAGTTTAAAAGTAGTTAAACTCTGGAGGTAAAAAGAAAAAATGGTTTCTAGATTAGGGAAAGGGAGATGAGCATTTTGTTCACCATAGACCCATTGTCTATCACTAACTCGACGCCTAAAGTGAAAGAAATGATAGGAATACGTTGTGTAATTCAATGAAGGAGTTTTCTCGTCCCTTGGTTATAGGCAAGCTGAAGTGGATGGGATATCTGAATGCGTGGTAGGTGGAGAGGAAGTTGAAGACTGTTCAGCCATGATTGGATCCATTCATCATTTTATTAAAAAGGTAGAACGAGGAGACACCAAAAAACTGAATCGATCAAAGATTAAGGTCGGAATGGCGAAGGAGAAGTAAGACAATATGAACGAGTTTTCTTTTTGCTTCTTTGATATTTTTCTTTCTTTTTTTCTTTCTTCTTTTTTCTTTCTTTTTTCTTTCTTCTTTTTTCCTTTTCTTTCTTTCCTTTTCTTTTTCCTTTTCTTTTTTCCTTTTCTTTTTTCCTCTTCTTTTTCCTTTTCTTTCTTTCTTTTTCTTTTTCCCTTTCTTTTTTCCTTTTCTTTTTCATCTTCTTTTTTCCTCTTCTTTTTCCTTTTCTTTTTTCCTTTCCTTTTATTCCTTTTTTCCTTTTCTTTTTCTTCCTTTTCTTTTTTCATTTTCCTTTTCTTTTTCTTCGTTTCCTTTTATTCCTTTTCTTTTTCCATTTCTTTTTTTCCTTTTCTTTTTTTCCTTTTCTTTTTTCCTTTTCTTTTTTACGTTTTCATTTTTCCTTTTTCTTTTTTCCTTCACTTTTGCTTTCCTCATTTATTTTTCCATTTGGTTTTATTATTTTGTTTATTTGATATTTTCTTTTTCCTTCTTTTTCTTGTATTTTCTTCTTCGTATCCATTCACATTGCCTGCTTTCCTGTTTTTGTTTCTTGTCTTCTTCCTTCTTTTCGTCCACCTCCATTACTTCTCTTCTATCTTCTCTTTCTTCTTTTTTCACACTCCTTATTTCAAGTCTTTTCCTCTCTCTCTTTTCACCTCTTTCTTTCTCTTCATTTTTCTTTCTTCCTCCCCCTCCTTCTATTCACTTATCTACTTCCTTTTATCACTTAGCTTTTCGTTTAATTTCTTTTCCCCTTCCTCTTTCAACTTTTACTCTTTTTCTTTTTCTTATTTTCACCCTCTTTCTTTTTCCACCTTCTTTTCACCCTCCTCCTCAGTTTCATTCTTTTTTTTCTCTTTACCTTAATTCTTCTGCCATTTTTTTTCCCTCGCCCGTTATATTTTCTCTCTCTTACATTCCTTTTATTAACTTCTTTTTACCCTCGTCCTTAGTATTACTCTTTTCTTCTTCTTTCTTTTACCTTCCTCCTCCGTTTTTTTTCAGCATCTTTTTATTTACTTTCTCTTCCTCCTTTTTTTATTTTCTTTTCTCCTCTTTTCTATTTTCTCCTCCGACCTTTTGCCATCCTTCCTTTTCTTCTTCTTTTTCTCCCCTCTCTTCTGCCTTTTAACACTCTTTTTTTCCTTCTTTTCATCCGCCTCCTGCACCTATTTTCTTTTCTTCTTTCTTTCTTTTCTCTCTCCTCCTCATTTTACCCACTTTATTTTTCCTTCACCATCTCCATCCGCCCTTTTACACTCCTCCTCCTCCGTCACCTTATTTTCATCTTCTTCGTTTTCTTCTTTTTTCCATTTCTTTTTTTACTTTTCTCCTCCCATCGTTGTTCTTGTAACATATTCCAGTTACTTTTTCGCTCTTTTCTCTTCCTTAGTTTGCATTTGAGTCTCGTTCTTTTTCTCCGTGTTGCATTCTCTTTCGCACCGTCGCGTTTGTATCGATATACTCTATTTCGTTTCTTTTCCTTTATTAATCTTTTCGCTCTCGACAAATGTTCTTTTTCCTCTTTTTAGGTCCAGTTTCGTTTGATAGCCGAATGTGCTCTTTGGCGCTAAGGTCGTCTCAAATTCCCCTCCACAAACCTCTAGCGCACTTTGGTTGCACACTTTGAAAGCCACCTCTGAATGGTTTAAAAGAATTAAGTTATGGAATTCCTTTCTCACGTGGTTGACTTAAATCCAATTAGTAGCAAAAATTAAAAACGCGCTTCATAAAAGGGTGTCATCGAATCTGGAAGAGCTGGAAAGATTTGGACATTAAAGAATGGCCGAAAATAGAAGATGCGGAATTTAATAGGTCCTCGGTGGGTGATTCGAGTGACAGTGTGCCGGCCATGAGATAAGGGTTTTATCTCACCATAATCGTTTTCTGTTGAAGTTGATATATATATATATATATATATATATATATATATATATATATATATATATATATATATATTTCGGCAGCATGTTTTCATTGAGGCATGTTTGGTTGAATAATTTAGACATGTTCTGTCTACAATGTCATCATCAGGGTATTGGGGTTGACATTGTGCTATTCGAATGTACTCGGAAATAAATATAATATGTATCAACACGGCGTTCTCCTCTCGTCTTTCTATAATCACACAAAAAAGCTTATCCATGAATATGAAAAGATCCTATCGAGAATAAGGAGACAAAACATGTCTAAATTAGTCAACGAAAACATGTTTAAATATATATATATATATATATATATATATATATATATATATATATGATCTTAACACATTTAATATTACATTACTCTGCTTATATATATCTTTATATATGTCGTTTCGTATGTTTATAGCTTATCTATCTATCTCATTTTTTATCAAAGTTTTTTTCTCAGTCTTTTTATTATCTATCTCATTATGCTTCCATCTCATTATGTTCCTATCTATCTATCTATCTATCTATCTATCTATCTATCTATCTATGGTGCGTTTGCATATATAAGTTTTCTTATCTTACCATTGACTTCGTATACTGTAATGTTGCCATATTGTGATTTGTATTTTTCTTTCCTCTTTTTGTGAAGACTTTTAATTCTTTTCCTTGCAATTTATCTAAATCATCATTCTTCATTCTTTATCGCAGTTATTTTCTCACTTTTGACATGTGATATCAGCGCCATGTCCTTTCATGCTTATCTCTCCACCATTTTTATTTCAAATTCCATCTTATTTTACCATCAAACAAAAACGCAAATCCTAAAACATTTTTATAACAACGACGAGGCAAAGTAACACGAAAATTGCTTTTTTGTTGTTTTGTTTTACGCTGAATGATTTTTATCAAGTTTAAAATTTAGAACATAAATTTAAAAGGAACTCTAATGTTAAAATAACTCTGTCAGATTTAGGGTCTTGACTTAATTACTAACACTGAAATCATCAACATTGCAAAAAGTCATGCGCATCTGAGCAAAGCTCTGAAAGATATACCTACACTGCGAGAAATAGGCTGAGATAAATAGATATGGAAGGAGGCAAAATGAGGTGTACAAGCGAAGAGAGAGAGAGAGAGAGAGAGAGAGAGAGAAATAAAAAGAGAAAGATAGGCGGATTTGTTTTATATGGTGTATCAAACCTTTGTTGTTTATTTGAAAACGAAACCTATTTTGGATTGTAGGAGGTTGCTTACAGTAGCTGGTGTTTTCAAGCGATCCCACGTCTAAGTACTAACTGGCAAGAAAGAAAAAAGTACGTACAAAAGAAAGAAAGCAAGCAAGAAAGAAAGAAAGAAAGTACATACGAAAGAAAGTACATACGAAAGAAAGAATTAAAGAAAGTATATACGAAAGAAAGAAAGAAAGAAAATACATACGAAAGAAAGTACTTACGAAAGAAAGAAAAAAGTGCATTCGAAAGAAAAAAAGTACATACAAAATAAAAAAAGAAAGAAAGTACATACGAAAGAAAGAAATTGAGAAAGTACGAAAGAAAGTGCATACAAAAGAAAGAAAGAAAATACATACGAAAGACAGAAAGAAAATTCGAAAGTACGAAAGAAAGCTTTCTACATTTTTCTATTAATATTAGTTTGTATGTGGATGGTGATGAGATGGTTTTGTTTTTTAGGAAATAGTCGAGGCTAAACCTTTCTATGTCCTTGATAGATTATTTAAATGTAACGAAAGTGTTCTACTATTTATTGGGAGCAAAATATGAAAAAATATAGTTTTACTGTATGATATATTTATGGATTAAAGTGCTCAATATTAGGGGGAGTGCGTATTTTCTTTACTTATTCTTGTTTATTTATTTACTTATTTTGTTTATTTCCTCAATTATTCGCTTTAATTTTGCCTACCAATTTGACTCTTTTTATCTGTTTAATATTTTATTATTATTATAATTAATTTTATTTCCTTGGCTTCTTGTTGTATATACATTTCCTTCCGAGTCCCACACAGAGACCTAAGGTCAGAAACGGACTCTTGATATCTTCCACTGATCATTAAAAAACAAAAACTAATATCACACTTATTTTACATAGAGAAGGCTCTTCGTAATGCGTGCGCTGTATATGTGAGTACAATTTTTTGTATTTCTTTAAGGCGCATCGACCAGAAATCCCTTCAATGAGTCTATCGGAACATTTTCTAATCAATCCGAAGGCTCCATCTACAACTGGAACTATTGATGTCCTCATGTTCCACATTTTTGAGATTTCCACTTCAAGTTCCTCGTATGTTGATACTTTTTTGAAGATCTCAAAGCTACATTACAATCTGCAATGATATCATATCAATAGGAAAGGACATTTAGTTGTTGTGGTCTTTGATGGCGATATCTGGGCGATGAGCTTTGATTGTTGTTTGTGAGTAGTGTAAAGTTCCATAAAATAGTTACAGATCCTCTGTCTGTAACTAAGGCTGGGTGATGTTCATATCAATTTCTTACAGTTCCCTTTCCATAAAAGTTGCATATTTTCCAGTGGAGATATTGGCCCATTCTATCAAGACGAATTTTATATTCAGTGGGTGCTAACACCACGCAACCTGATACAAGATGGTCAATTGTTTCTGGATATTTATCACAGAATCTGCATTTCGATTCAACACAATTTTTCAGCATTGTTATTATCAATATTATTTCAATTAAAGACCAAAGGAAAGGATTTTAATTTTTTTCTATGCAACAGATGTTTTGAGACAATAAGTGAAAATATTGGGCAAACAGTCTGTGCCAATGACTTTCAGACTTACTTCTTGTCATGAGGCCAATGATTTGGTTTTATTTAGTGCTTAATTTTAAATTCATTTAAACTTGCAACTTGTCCTTTATTTGTTATGAAAATGTACTGCACGTGATGACAAGCCAGTAAATCTACAATGGAGTAAATTCGTCTATCAGTTATATTAAAATTGGACAATATATATATATAGTGAACATTGATTGTGGGTAGTCTATTTTGGCGGTTATTTTGCCGGGAGTCGTTTTTTTGTTTATTTATTTGGGTTAGATTATTTTGCTTGTTTGTTTGTTTATTTATTTGGGTGAGATTATTTTGCTTGTTTTTATTTACTTTTATTTTTATTTCTCATCTTATATATTTATTATTTATTTTAATTTTAATCGGTGTTTTATTAACGTAGTAAAAATTTGTTTATATCGCTTATTTAATAGTTTTGTTTGGGTTTGGGAAGATAATTAAAGCTATTTATTCAATTTTGGGGTTGATCGCTGTAGTTTATTCTAACTATTATTTTGGCAGGAGCAGTTTTTAATAACCGCCAAAATAGACTACCCCCAATGCACCACTGACCCGTATATGTAAATAGCCGAGAAAAAAACAACACTCGTGGCCTGATGATTGCGTCTAGCATGAAACAGTCTGTCACGTCTGAGTGTTGACTTCACTTTTGTATTTACACACGCTCTATCTCTGATATTGAGCATTTTATCCCATAAATATAGCACACCTTCAGAGTATATTTCTTCATATATATATATATATATATATATATGTATGTGTGTGTGTGTGTGTGTGTGTGTGTGTGTGTGTATAATGCACCGCCAAACAAAGAAAAGCCATAGATAAGGTTTAAAATGAATTTTTAAATATTAAAAATCATTCTTGAAGTTTTTATTTTAGTTTTAATTTGAGTAAATAGATTAAATTTAATATTTCTTCTTTGGTGTATTTCAAAAAGCATTTTAAATTGATTGGAATTATTTTTTTTAATGTGAAAATTGTTAAAATCAACCAATTTTAGCGAATCCCTCGTCACATGGTTATCTTTATTAAAAATCTTTCAAAATAAAATATGCATTTCTAAAACTTTATGTGAGGAAGATTAGATGTTTTATAGTTTAATTAATCTGATTTGAAACAAATATTACTAACTTTTAATGTAAAATATCGTCGAAGAACATTTTTAAAAACTTACTTACTTGACATACGTTTGGGAAGGGGGACAATTATTGTAACAATTATTTGCCGAATATAAATTGAATGCCTTTTTATATAATTTTCTAACTCCCCATTTATCTTAAAAACTCAGGAAAATATGCTAAATAATGTAATATATGATTGAATTTTAGATACTGTTTTCATAGATACTTTGACGCTTGCAGGAGAAATGTCAGAAAATTACCAATAATTTATAAATTTACACTCTTTTATTCTGATAATTTCATGTATGGATGTCCATATTCATACAAACTATTAATCGAAAAAATGTTTACTATGTTTAAAATAGTTTCTATACTATATTCATAACATAAAAACTATTAAGTAAATAAGTGTAAGTTTTATTGCATTTTAAATTTTCGATTCTAAACAGATTGTCCAAATTCAGCGAGATTGTCTTATATATATATATATATATATATATATATATATATATATATATATATATATATATATATATATATATATATATATTTAAACACGTTTCATTAAATAATACAGACAAGTGTTGTCTATTTATTTTATGTAAACTCTTTTCATAACGTCTAATAAGTTTAATAACATTATAATTGAACGAAGAAAGAAATTCACAATATTGATCCATATTTTTTTTAATACAATCTAAGCTTTCGGCTTACATAAGCCATTATCAAAGATGTCAATTACAACATATTAAGCAATATACGGACAAGACAGTGATGACATGCATATAAGACGCTAGAAGCGAAAATCGCACCGCATCTCATGACGTCACACATGACCAAGCGAGAGTTAATTGAAGAAATAAGAAATATGGACAGCCGTTGGCACAAACCAATGGCCTTCGTCACCAACTACAGACTGTTCAATTATAATGTTATAATTGTTGTGCGAGCATGAAGTCATCGTGACCGAGGGTATTAGCGTACGAGACTTGTTCAGATTGCTGATCACGCCCGATAATTCGTTTTCTCCCAGTGGTACCTAACTACGCTCAGACTATTTATGACATAAACCACATGCAGGCATTGTGGATATTGCCTGACCAATAGGGACTGGGTATCCGTTTTAACACTCGTAGCTGGTATATATATATATATATATATATATATATATATATATATATATATATATAGAGAGAGAGAGAGAGAGAGAGAGAGTATGGATAGGAATGCGACAAAAATAGGAAAATGAACAAATAGTAAACAGATCTTAATCTAACATGTTTCACTTTATTAAAGCTTCGTCAGAGATCAAGATAGAAATGATAAAACTTCTATCTTGATCTCTGACGAAGCTTTATTAAAGTGAAACATGTTAGATTAAGATCTGTTTCCTACTTGTTCATTTTCCTATCATATATATATATATATATATATATATATATAAAATATGATAGGAAAAATATATATGCTGTGTATTTAGGCAGCAATCCTTCATTTATATATGTTTCATTAAAAACGACAACTAGGTACTACGATTAAGCTTTATATTCAATTTTATTATGTTCGAACAAGTGCTTTCTTTTTGGGATACAGGGTGTGTAGAAACTCTACAAGCTTTCGGCTATACTTTTAGCCAGTATCAAGGATGATTTTATTTTTTTAGTTTAAGTGAGTGTGTGTGTTTTGCGTATGTTTTTAGTCTTTTAAAGATGTTTTATTTTCCGAACACGGTTAGCCCATTATGGCTGTGTTTGTAGTTAATATTGTCATGTGTTGATTTTTTCTTTTAGGCCTTCCATTATTCCATTATATTTAATCTTTTTTTTTTACATGTGGATGAGGTTATTATGTTTGCATTTTCTACTAGTATGTTTCGGATGGAGTCTGGTAGTTTTGTGTGTAAAACGAATTCTAGTAATTTGTGGTCGGATAGGTGTAACGTAAGGTGTCTGGATAAGCATGTAGTAGTGTAACCGATGTAATTATTTATGGATTTGGTGTGATCAGGAACACAGTTTCTTAAGAGGAATTTGAACTCATATATAATGTTCATTCGTTGTAATTTTGATTCGGCTGCCGTGTTTCTATTTTTGAGCATAAGGTTAGCTCTTTTACATTTATTAGTAATAGATAATTTGATTTTTTTTATTCGGGTCAATTGAGATAGTATATTTCTTTATAATATCTCTAAATGAAGATTCATCTTGTTTTGTAGTTAATGTGCGTTTGGCTTTTGTAGAAAATATTTATGTAATTTTTGACAGTATAATCATTATCGTTGTTATTCTGATGTGTTCTATTTAATAAAACCTGCATATATATATATATATATATATATATATATATATATATATATATATATATATGAGAATTTCTCACAGTTAACCTGTAGAAAAGACAATATTTATAAATATAATGACAATAGGAAAACTGTAGTCATTGCTGACGCGTTTGTCCAATGTGGACGAAACGCGTCAGCAATAACTACAGTTTTCCTATTGTATATATATATATATATATATATATATATATATATATATATATATATATATATATATATATATATACACACACACACATATATATATTCAACATCATTATTTTGATAAGACACCAGAGGTGTTGAAACGAAATGGCTATTTTTGTAGTGATTTTTATAACATATTTATGTTATAATTTTTAAATAAATAATTATATTTGCTCTACTCTGTATTGAGCACTCTTTTAAGAATAGTATTTGTTGGTTATTGGAATTTATTCCATATACACAATCCTATACTTATATATATATATATATATATATATATATATATATATATATATATATATATATATATATATATAGTCTCTTCCTATCCGTCCATTCGTTACATCCATTTACGCTCAAATACTCCTAGCAATCTATCTCTCCTCCCAGCTATGCGCTAATGTAGGACTTGTGTCTGGAAAAATCATCGTTATTATAAAAAAAAATTTAATACATTTTTCACTCGAAAAAAAGATTATTCTTACAATCCAAAAATACGTTTCGGTTGATAAGCCGAAAAAACAAATCAATCAATTAATCTATCCATCTTTGTTCTTATCAATCTCTCTTTCTTTTCTTTTTTCCTTTTTTTTTTCTATCTATCTATCTATCTATCTATCTATCTATCTATTTATGTTCGTCTTTCCATATCTACCTATCTATCTCGGCCTCTTCGTAGCCTATCAATCTAACACTTATCCTATCTATTTATTTATCTATCTATATATGCACACACACACACACACACACACATATATATATATATATATATATATATATTTCCAATGCGTGTATTTGCCAATAAATGAAATACCATTCACTCGACAGTCAGAAAGATTAGAGAAAATTTGCCAAACAATTTCTCTGAGAATAGCCATCATGATTCTAATTGTAGTCCCATGTACGGGAAATCTGTGGCCCAGAATGTGAGGTGTTTTTTGCCGTCAGCACCTCTGTAGGTCATCAGATTAGAAATTCGACTCGACCGTTGAATTAAATGTTATTATATACTCACGACACCTGATCCAAAGAAGCAAACGAGAAGCTTTCACACTTCTTTCTTTATTCGAGATTTGACAGATATAAATGTGCCGTATGCGACTGTCTTGTTATCAGCTCCACATGTTGAAACATACAGCTCTGACTTCATTTAGGTCTCAAAGATCTCTTTTTCTCTCTTCCCTATTCCCCACACAAGAACAAGAAAATACGAGACATGAAGTCGAATGAAGCAAACGTCACTTTGCAATAATAAGCATGGACATTTCTTGGCCGTAAGCTGTTCGCAAGCGTTTACTGGACGTTTGAATGAAAAGCTATCAAATATTTTTCAGAACAAGTAAATAAACACTCTCGTGTCATATCATGAAACTGTATATTTGAAACAGATTTCAAGCCATTATAGTCATAGAAAAGACAAAACTCACAGCGCGCCTCTAAATAAAGCGAATGCTTTGGTATAAGTTAAGCGAGTATCAGAATTTGTTCTTTTAACTTAATTCAGGTACTACTTAAATTGAGTGGTCCACTCGTAAAGAAAAATAGTCAAGAAGTTCCTTAAACAATTTTTAGAGCAAAATTTTCATTAGACTTTCCTCAAGCCATGATAAGGGTCAAAATCGAAAATATTGATTTTTTTATCATTTTAGAATATAAAATATGTTCATAATATAAATTGTCAAATTGATCCCTGACTTCTTAAACAGTTATATGTACAATTTTTTATTGAAAATGTTAAATTAAAAATCTGCTTATATCATTAGTAACTGTGTAATCTCATGAATTATGAAAAAGAACATAATCAGTAGACATTAAAAAAAATCACCCCAAGCTAGGCAACAAAGCCACTAAGATGCAAAGGGTTACTGAATGTGAAAGACTACAAGAAAAAAGAAAACATTATTAAGTAGCAAGTATAATAAAAAAAAAGAGGAATCAAGATCACAGAAGATAATGATTGACATTGAATTAAAATTTCTGAGGTTCAAACTTGACAAGTGCAAGAAAAGAAATTCTTAGCCTAGAATTTATGATTAGATTTAGCCATTTCAACTGTAAAAGGATGAGATCTTGCTGCCAATATTTTTTCTAAATTTATAATGAAAAAAAGAAAAGTTCATGAGAATAATTTTCATGAAAGTATTTGTAGAAAAAGCAGAGGGAAGCTACGTTACGGCAGTGGTAAAGTGACTGAAGCCTAGATGACATGTCAGGATCAATGACATTGCAGATTCTTTGTTTTTTATCAAGGAACACTAAATACATATCAGGAGAATCAGATCGTATGCGGCAGCAATATTCAATGCATAGAGGAATTGTAAATTTGAAAATAGTTAAGATAGATTCAAGCGAGAAAAATTATCTAGAATGACACGGAGAAACAACTTTGTCAATAAAACAAGGTACTAACACGCTTAAAAAAAAAAAAAACAAGAACCGATTTCACACTGAATTTATTTTATGAGCAACCAGTGCAAACTCAACTTTTGCTGCCATAATTTGTAAGCAGTATGATTTGTGAGTTAGTGGGCAAAATTAGCGTCAAGTTTACTTCAAGGAAGATGATAAAAACTAGTTATGTAAAAAAAATTGTCTTCATGATCAAAACGGTGGAAACTTTTGGCAATTATTCTTACTACATGTAGAGGTAAATCGAAAAGACAAACCTAAGAGTGAGTTAGAAAGGATAGTAAATTTTGGAGAGCCATGATTGCCCACGACCTGAAGAAACACGTCATATAGATTAAGAATAGATCGAGAATTACCCCTACAAACCACGTGAAAAAAACGATTTTCTCATCGTATATATTATATATATATATATATATAATATACAGTGTAACCCGGATATAAGAGACCCGGATATAAGAGAAACCCGGATATAAGAGAGATTTTCTCTGGTCCCAAATTAGAGCCTGTGTTAATGTAAACAAAATAGACCAAACCCGGATATAAGAGAAACCCGGATATAAGAGACTTCGTCTCCGGTCCCGACAACTCTCTTATATCCGGGTTACACTGTATATGTAAAATATATATAATATATATAATATATATATATGTAAAATATATATAAATATATGTATATATAATATATATATATCATTTATCATATATAATATATACATATCATTTATCAGATATATAATATATCACAATATATATACTATATATCACATATATATCATATAATATATAATATATTTAATATATATATCATGTATATATATATATATATATATATATATATATATATATATAAAACTTCATGCATTAGTATATGAAGAGAAAGGTTATTTTAATAAATTTGAATGATGCATGGTCATTGATGTCGAATGGGCGGGTTTATTTCAAAAACTAGAATTTTCACGCACATCCATCTCAGAGAATGTTCAGATAAAGAAACCATTCCAGAAACTGACAATTCAATGCGGGAAAACCATTGTTGATAAGACGAATGGGGAAGAATGGTTAGATTTTTTAAGCTGATAGAAAGGCAAGAGTAGCTGAAATATGTACTCTTTTTGCCCTGGATATGATAAACTACCCCTCGGCAGCAATGCTTCTTCGGAAGATTTTGAGGAGCATGGAATCACCTCTTTATTGCTGTTGTTCCCAGTTCCATCATGACCCAAGGTGGTAGCACCTGTTAGGGTCCCAGCTAAAGGCAAAGAGTTAACCCCCCAAACTATGAAACTATGATAAAAGAATTATAATACTACCAGCAATACATTTTCATAGCAATAAAAATTACCAGCGATACACTTCTGGAAGGAAACAAAATATTACCTGCAATAAATTTTGATAACAAAAAAAAAAAATTACCAATACTTTTTGTAACAAAAATTACCAATAATCCCAAGAGAATTAAATTTCTGCGTTAAATGACCCATAAAGAGTTGATGTGCCGTAAAACAAAGCAAACTAAATCAAACACTCTTTATAACCGATAGTTATGGTGGTAGTGGTGATGGTTGTGGTGGCTATGGTTGAGGTGGTGGTGGCGGTGTTATAGTATAGGGTATATTTTACTGATGTATATTATGAACATTGATACCAATAAATGATCATTTAAACACCGCAAGTTATCCAGGCATTGCGGTAGGCCACGTGCCCCAATTCATGACTCCGGGGCAAACAAACCTCCGATGACCGCATCCAGCAGGACAACGTAACGTCTCACACATCCCGTCTCTGCTAAAATGGTTTCCACAGCCACCGAATGACAATCCGAGAGTTGACCGCTGGGATGCGTTAGAAACGAATATTCGAATGCTGGTTTTACATTCTACTAATCTAGAAGAAGTGTTGTTATGACGGCATGAACCTAAAATTTCCCAAAAGTGCTTCCAGAAGATCGTTTGATCCATACGAAGAAAATTAAATTGAGATGGTTCTTAAGGCAAAAGAGGTACAACATGTATACCTAATAAAGTGGCTAAGATTTTACACTGGACCCTTTATTTCGCTCACTGGGTAGAATGTTCTAGTTCCATGTGCCATGTCTAATAGATGTCAGTTATCTCCTGTTAATTTCCCCCTCAAATTTCTCCACCGCCATAACCAGGTATTGAACTCACACACTTTGGGTCCTGTCACTGGCTCTAACTGACGCCTTTATCCACTTGGAACTAGAACAGTCTACCCCAGTGAGCGAAATAAAGGGTTCAGATCGACATTACAATCACCTGAAGAAGGCCGGAGCGTATAACGGTCGAAACGTTGTGAAAAAAATGGCGGCAAAGATGAGGACAATAGTCCGAATAATGTAAATAGTGTACACACACACACACACACACACACACACACACACATATATATATGTATATATATATATATATATATATATATTTGATAGGCCTGTTAATGAAATTTGAGGAATAAAAAGACGAAAAATGCTAACAATATTGGTAATAAGTTTGATGATATTTATCATATATTAGCCTTTTGACTAAATTGAAGCACGAAGAGAAATATTCTAAAGTCTGTGTCCTTTTTCGAAGAGACAAGAAATAAATAAAGAAGTGGGACTAACTCTTCCGGGAAATGTTTTTGATGTTTAGAGGGCTAATTGTAGAAACTATATTCTGTAATATATATTGAAGGTAAATGTTCTTTATGTCATATAAAAGTGATGAAAATATTTATATATAATATTTTTTGTATATTTTTATGTTTTTTATATAGTTGACATATGGAAACGCAAGTGGGAAATAAAATTTTTTTCGCCTGCTCCTGTTTGTTGCGACACTGTTATTGATTAGTGTTTTGTTTTTTTGGTTGTTTTTTTTTTTTAACTCCGCTAGATTTCAACTGCAACAGACGTTAATGACGTCAGTGTGAGAATCACCAATCCTTTGGTTGTGACACCTGATACGGATTTTTCTTGTCTCGTCTGCCTTTTTTCTACCTCACGAGTCTTTTGTCAGATGACGACAGCTATAAGAGAAGAGGTGCGTAGCTGAAAATTCTTTTCTATTTAGACTTATTAGTGTGTTAATAAGACTATATATCAAAGAATTTAAAATGAAGAGTATTAGATAATAGTAATAACAATAATAACAATAATAATAGAACTACTAATCAATCAGTTATGTGCCATGCGTAATACACGCTTCGGCGATCATGTGTCTTTCGATACATGACTGACGAGTCAGATTTTTCCCGCAGTAGGTTGGCATTTCTTTCTGCG